TTGTTTTTTCTTCTTATTGTTCACGAAAAACACATAGACGTTTTGAACATGAAATATACAACAAACAATGTGATTAATTCGAATTATATCCTATAATACACAATAATACACAAAACACATATATACACGGACCTGGTATAATTTTTCACCTTTCAAAAATAGAAATAGGATTTCTTATGTTTGTACATCGGATACTGGGAGGATTTGGAAAAGTTCGCCTTGAAGCGCTATCCTGCCTTTTGTCGGATAGCCAAAGTGAGGGGTGCGTTTTATGGCGCAGGCGCGCATAATTCAGCAGTGCCGTGTCAACGTCGTTTATTGCGCGGGCCTCCGGTTTTGTTTTGGCATTCTTTTCACAAGTGGGGGTCCTTACTTCCTGTTTTCTATTGAAAAAGGTTGGAAATTGCTTAAAAACGTTAAAACTTAAAACTGTTCTCCAAACTTTTACTTATTTGTCCAATGTATGCGTGGTATACCCTGTATGGAGATCTTCACTTGTCGGCGTGCCAATTTCTGAGCTAGGGTTCGAATCCCTGGCAAGTCTAGGATAAAGGCTCGATGGGGGGACCAGTGGATGTTCACGGTATATGTGAAAAATACTGAAACATCCCCTGTTTGTTGAGTTAGCTGCAATTCGACTGGTGCGTGGATTTGTATATTCAAATATTGAGAAGAATTCTGTGGTACTGACAAGCCATAGCCCAGCATGTTTAATAGAATTGCTGGGACATGCATTTGTCTGTATAACGGAGTTTGATCGTCCAACACTTGAAGTATGGCAGGTTACCTTCTCAGTGACCTAGCTGGGGCACCCAACTCTAAAATTTGGAGTTATTTGACTGTTAGCTTCCAATTGTGTGTAGCCTCTCATTCTAGGCACAACAGTTAGGGAGGTTTTCAATGCAATTATTCTAAGGAAATTCAGGCAGGGACTTTACAAAATTTGACTTAGGGAGGAATTTGAATTGGGAAGGTTTGAATTATCAAGATTGTTGTCCGGTTTCCAAAATTAAATAAAAATTTGACAACGTGTCTTGTCTCCTTCCTTGTTAGCTTTTAATTCAGAAACCTTCCAACTGTTACTTTTTAAGTTCTCTCCTTGATGTCCGGGAAACTTCTTCAGATGTCCAACATTCAGTCTTTTGAATGAGTATAGAGTCCGTATATCTTCAGTAGATATATTTCTATCAACGTACTCGTCTCCTTACGAGGTTATAGACAACACTGAACTCGCGCAGGCAAAAACAATGCTTTATATAAACTTTGATCAGTAGTTTGATTGGCGGAATAGAGGACAAGGAAAAGGGGCTTTCTATCTTCAAGAGGGATCTGGTCAGCAACAGAGTGTCGGGGCTGAGAGGATCATTTGGTTTTATAATGAAGTGGTTTGTGATATGGATAAGGATAAAAGTTGATGTCGCTGTCGAGGCGTCTCGGGACACAGAGAGAGAATATTGAGCACCGGGAATATAATATTACTTTGTTGCAAAGTAATCAATGCATCAAAGGATCGCCTGAAAGTTTTGCCTTGGGGTACTTCCCAAGTATTGTCATATTTTGTCACACTGATAACAATAGAATATTGAGCACCGGGAATATAATATTACTTTGTTGCAAAGTAATCAATGCATCAAAGGATCGCCTGAAAGTTTCGCCTCGGGGTACTTCCCAAGTATTGTCATATTTTGTCACACTGATAACAATCACCCGGCACAAAAAGAAAAGCCTGCTTTTCTAAGCCAAAGTGCAAACTCAAGGTGTGAAAAAGTGCGAAAAATAGTGATACCTTTGTTTGCTGTTATCAGCAAAGTTTTTTGACGATTCTCTGCACAAAGGTAAGGTTTTGATTCCCATTTGCTTCTCTGCTTTGACCCAGTGAACGTTGAGCGTTATTGACACCATCTCCAATCCCTTTTTCTCAACATGTTAGCTTTACAATTTTTGGTGATTGGATTTTGCGTAGTTTTTAATGCTCTGGTCAAATCACAAACTGAAGAAGTTAATTGTCAGTTAATCAACGGGATATGGACTTGCAAAGATCTTTGCAAGGAGGGTGTCCGTAATGCCTATGCGTATGATGGAATCGTTAAATTGGACGGAGGAGAATTAAATTTGGATTGTGCATCCTTTAACGGAATTTCTGTAAGAAAATAAAATTCGCGACATTGATAAAAATAAAAACATGTCAAAATAACATTCATATAGATGGTGATTCTTGACGGAAATGTTTCCTGTGTTGGGGCATCAAGCAGCAGCAAAATAGAGTTGGTTGGTGGTGAGTGTGTCGGTGTAGCTGATGACAGCTCTTTGAAGTCCGAATCTTCGACGAGAACAATCACACCGTCAACGACAGCATCTCCGGCAATTACATCAAGCATGACAGTGAGTTCTTTGTTTTCCAATGTGGCTGTTGTGACGTCGGTTGCCGTTGAGGAGATGATGTATCCCGAGGTCAAATGCCAGACTGTGACCATTTCGAGGGAGACAAAGTCAAGGGAGAAGTCGTGGACAACGACACCGTTGTTTTTGGCTTTAATGTTGACATGGATTGTAGTCGGTTTAGTGATCTTTGGGGTGATCTTCGGCGGGTGTACAACAGCTGTCGTATATTGGTCGTATACGGTGGCACGTCATCAATACACACAAGTAAGTCGCAAAAATAGCAGCAATTCCAAACATAAAACATTTCGAATATTTTCAGTTGCGTACTTGTCCCAGGAGTCCGGAACGTATCGAACTGGAAAGGATAGTCTTTGAAGGGGCCAGAGGAGTGGACAATCAACAAGCAAATGTTATCACGGAAGAAGAGGGATCAAAAAAGGAAAACTCAAGTCGGGATGATTTTGAAGATGTAGATTTAGATAATTTGCCTCTTCCAGATGAAAGGGTTTTGCCGCGTTATCTGTCTCAAACTTCAATTTTAAGTGGAGAGGGCATGATTTGAAAAAGTAAGGTAAAAGTTACTACTAAATGTCGCATGGAAAATATGGATTATCAAGCTAATCTTGCTTCAGATTTGCGAGAGGTTGTTAAATATTCTCGGAAAATAGATTTACCCACTGTGAATATCGAAGATACTGATAGTGCGGTACATTTGTTGGAAGATCAGGAGAATACGGTGAACGCGGAATAGTGCAAGGGTTTAATGCGGCGTTGATGAATATTATTGCTTGTTGAAGGAATTGAAAATATATATTATGGTACGCAGAGACAAGTGTTGTTTTTTCTTCTTATTGTTCACGAAAAACACATAGACGTTTTGAACATGAAATATACAACAAACAATGTGATTAATTCGAATTATATCCTATAATACACAATAATACACAAAACACATATATACACGGACCTGGTATAATTTTTCACCTTTCAAAAATAGAAATAGGATTTCTTATGTTCGTACATCGGATACTGGGAGGATTTGGAAAAGTTTGCCTTGAAGCGCTATCCTGCCTTTTGTTGGATAGCCAAAGTGAGGGGTGCGTTTTATGGTGCAGGCGCGCATAATTCAGCAGTGCCGTGTCAACGTCGTTTATTGCGCGGGCCTCCGGTTTTGTTTTGGCGTTCTTTTCACAATTGGGGGTCCTTACTTCCTGTTTTCTATTGAAAAAGGTTGGAAATTGCTTAAAAACGTTAAAACTTAAAACTGTTCTCCGAACTTTTACTTATTTGTCCAATGTATGCGTGGTATACCCTGTATGGAGATCTTCACTCGTCGGCGTGCCAATTTCTGAGCTAGGGTTCGAATCCCTGGCAAGTCTAGGATAAAGGCTTGATAGGGGGACCAGTGGATGTTCACGGTATATGTGAAAAATACTGAAACATCCCCTGTTTGTTGAGTTAGCTGCAATTCGACTGGTGCGTGGATTTGTATATTCGAATATTGAGAAGAATTCTGTGGTACTGACAAGCCATAGCCCAGCATGTTTAATAGAATTGCTGGGACATGCATTTGTCTGTATAACGGAGTTTGATCGTCCAACACTTGAAGTATGGCAGGTTACCTGGTACGGGAATTGGGTAACACAAAAGTTGCTGTAGCCAAGTTGCGTACCAAGAGAATCTGTCAAGCTGAACGCGGAGGAGAGAGGCGACATCAGGAGGGGGTATACTAGCATATTGACCTGAGCGTATATTCGAATATAGAGAAGAATTCTGTGGTACTGACAAGCCATAGCCCAGCATGTTTAATAGAATTGCTGGGACATGCATTTGTCTGTATAACGGAGTTTGATCATCCAATACTTGAAGTATGGCAGGTTACCTGGTACGGGAATTGGGTAACACGAAAGTTGCTGTAGCCGAGTTGCGTACCAAGAGAATCTGTCAAGCTGAACACGGAGGAGAGAGGCGACGTCAGGAGGGGGTATACTAGCATATGGACGGAATTGTTCCCGTGCAATGTTTGTAGTAAGCGGAAATAAGCTTCACACGAATGTTGCATGGAGGATAATTTTTGATGTTTTTCCATAAAGATGGTTATATTTTTTATTTTATACAAATCTTAAAGATGGATAAAATCTTCTTGGAGGTGTAGTTAATGCTATCGACTCTGCATTATTTTGCATTTGTTCTCTTCTGTTTCGTCTTCTTTTAATTATCACTTTTATTTTTGCATAACAAAAGTAAAATAAAATGATAAGAATTATGAGAGATGTTGAGGATAATCCTATCAAATAGAAATGTCCAAAATCTCTAAAATGTAGTTGTATTTTGCTTATGTCTTGAATTACTTTTCGAGGCATTTCTTCTTGTACTATTTCTGTAATTGCTTTAAGTTCTACGCCTGATACTTCAACAATTGGAATTATATTGTTTAGAGGACCATTGACTAATGTACAGTATATCTACATGAATTGTGAAATTTAAGGATTCCTGAGTGGGGTAATTCGTAAGAATTTTGAGTAGGTCCATTTCCTTGATTGTTGCAATATTGATTTATGCTTCCTTTATTTGGATTTACAAAAGTAAATTCATCTTGGTCTAAATGAATAAATTCACTTCTAGGAGTGTCTATTTTTTCTAGCTTACAGGTGTTTTCTATTTTAGTTTTATTGTCATTTTGTAAAATGGCTACGGTACATGAATCTAAAATGTGGTTGGGAATATCTTTAAATTTGCATATCTGGCAAAGCAAGAAATCTATCGATTGAATACAATTAGGTAGGTGATTTTTGTTTAATCCAAAATATATATCGTTATGAGCTAATACATATGAAAATGGAAGAAAGACCTTTTTCCATTTGGGTTCTCCTAGATAAGTTTCTTGTGATATGGGTAAGTTATATATTTGGAACAAATTAAAGAATGAAGATTCCGTTATTATGGGGATTACTACCAATGAATGGAAGACACAAGTGTTGGGTAGAACAGAACTAGAATTAGTATGACAACCGTGAAATACACCGATTGATAAAGGATTCGTATGAACTATGTTAATGGTTTCCGCTGTGGTCAATACACTTTTTTCTACGTTAATGAAAGTATTGAGAGCTGACTGTATATTATTGGGGCTAATTAAATTTTGTGAAATTTTAAATCATTTCAGTTTTCTATGTCATTTATTACAGTATGTAGAATCAAATTTAAAGTATTTATCTGAGAAGTCATTGACATGGTTAATGATTCATATACGCCATTAGACATTCCTTCCCTGGTGGTAGCATTCATTGCTAAAACTTCTTGAACTATGGTTTCAATGTTTGAAAATATGGTTTCAGGTTTTAAAGGAGATATTAAAACACGTTTCTCTTCAAAATTAGGATTATTATTGTTAGGGATTTCCTTCAGTTTTTCCTCGAGTTGGTTTATATTGAAATAAGAGAAGGGATGTGATGGAATGCGGGCATAAATAAAGGCTTTATCATAGAAAGCGGTACTTATAGTAGCGTTAATTTATTTATGGCAGATTGTAGGGCTTTTGCAACGTTTGGTACTTGTTGACCATATTCTGGAGTCAAAATAGATACCAAATATCAAACTAAATTATCAATAAGAGTATTAGTTTTTGATTGGAATATTCCAATAGGAGTTAATCTTTCTATTGTCCACTTAGATTGCGGTATGCACACAGGAAATTTCTCTGAGAAGGTTATTCCTTTATTTGCGACAAAGTTTCTTATGGGGGAAAAGCTATTAGATTGTTTAGAGGAGGTTGGTATGCCTTTATCATTTGGGAGTTTACAACAGTTAACATATGGCATAAATTGAAATACAGGGTTACAATATATAGATATTTCAAAATATTCATGCTGTTGAATCTTCAGTATTCTCAGTATTATCTATTATATCTTCTAATGATGTGTCAGCTGATACATTTAGATTGTTGACCTTACGTTTGTTGTCCAGCAATTGTTGTCGCTGTTCCCTTTGTCGTTCCAGCAATTCCTTGACCTTGTCGTTCTGGCCACTGGCTTGTCGTGTACGGGCTTCTATAATGTTTCCGGAATCTAATCCTTTTAGGGCTCTGGGTCCGTAAGGCTGGCGCTTATGAGTTTTGATAGGTGTACTCCGATTTTCTGGAGCAAATGTTTTTTGCAATGAGGGATCAGGATCAGTAAAATCTTCACCAATGGCTTCTGTTAATTCTTCAAAGAAGTTTTGTGTGCCTTTATAAAATTGTTTCACACGTTCTATGAAGGACGGTCTCTGAGGAACAGAAGAGGGGATCACATCTTCTTGAACAGGTGTTGATTGATTATTTGTTTCCTTAGAGATGGGAGGTTTCCGGATAGGGGTAATAGGTTGGATTTGGACTATCGGATTATATCGTGGTGGAGATAAGTTTGTTGATTCATTTATAGTTTCTTGTTCTATCAATTGGTCCTCTGTGATTGAAATATCTTGATCCTTTGTAATTGGGATAGTAATACTTACATCAGGAGAGTTGGTAGCTTCGATACCTTCATAAGGCTGGAATTCTGAATCATATACTTGAGTAGGCGGATTATTTTGGATAGAGTCATTATTATCTTGAGTATTTACGTCAGTGATGGTACTTGAAGATGAGTAAGGATGCAAATAACTTGAGTGGACTATATCATTCCATCCGGTATATGGGTCCTTTATACGATAAGATACCTTATTTAATATTTGAGTTATTACGTATGGTCCTTTGTATTTAACAGACCATTTACGTCCAACATAAGTAAGGACGTCGTGGGAACGGAGTAACACTAAATCATTTACTTTAAAAGAGGGAATTTTAGCCTTACTGTTTAATCTACTTAAATAAGCTTGCTGTCGTTTTTCAATTATGTATCTGGCTTTTTCTCTCAGTTTATCTGAAGAGGCATTTTTTGTGTTAATAAAATCTTTAATGTTCTCATAATTTTCTGTATCGGAAAAGTCCCAAGGTACCCAATTTATGTTAGGTTTTTGTCCTGTGACTAATTCATATGGGGACATTTGTATGGCTTCGTGTTTGCTGGAGTTATGTACCCATGCTGCTAATTTTACTAGTTGATCCCAATTAGTCCTATTGCTAGATACATAGCAATATATTCATGTAATTCCTTATGTGAACGTTCATTCTGACCATTGGCCTGCGGATGATATGCCGTTGTAGTGCGTGCATTGCTTCCAAGGGCAGTGGCTAATTCTTTAAATATGGCAGATAAAAAGTTGGTACCTCTATCGGTGAGAATAATCTTAGGGGCTCCAAACTGACATACCCAATGATTTAAAAATGCTTTGGTAACAGAGTCTGCTCCAGCATTTGAGAGGGGTACAAATGAAATCCATTGTGACAATCTATCTTGAATCACTAAAATATATTTATTTCCAGAGGAGCTCTGGGGAACAGGCCCAACAATATCAAGGCTTACTTCCTCGAAACATTTGTTGGGTATCGGCATTGGGTACATTGGAGAATTATGCTTGTATATTTTGTATCGTTGACATGTATCACAATTTCGTATGAATTCTGATACATCTTTATCCATATTTATCCAATAGAAATTTTCTTTTAATGCAAAAAGGGTTCTGTCTTCACCTGGGTGTCCTAAGGCAGGAGGTTCATGATATAGTTTAATAATATAATTTCTAAGATTTGGAGGGATCCATAATTTACTTCCTCTTTCTGTTTCCTTATATAAGAGTTTTTCTTTCATAAAGAAACCTTTACCTTTTGGCCACTCTTGTTTAGGTATTCTCATTAAATATTGTAAAATAATTTCTAAAGGAATGTAGGGAGTTATTTCTTCACTAAAGAAAGCAGGGGTTAAATAGTTGCATATTTTATTAATGGGAGGATATCTTGACAATGCATCAGCATGGGGGATATTTTTTCCTTTTTTATATTCTACCTTATAATTAAATTCATTTAAAGTGGTGAACCACTTAATGGCTCTTTGACTATCATTGTGTCGTTGTTTACTTAGAAAAGGAATTGCTATATGGTCGGTCTTAATAATGAAGGGATAGCCCCAAAGGAAGGACCTAAATTTTTGTACTCCGTAGAATACTGCAAGAATTTCACGGTCGGTATTAGGATAATTACTTTCCGTAGTATTAAGGGACCTTGACACACAAACTATTAAGTTTTCATGTTTTCCACTTTTTTGAGTTAAAACTGCACCAATAGCAATATTAGATGCATTGGTTGTAAGAATAAATTCTTTACTGAAATCAGGAAATGCCAAAACAGGTGCTGTCATTAAACACTGCTTTAGACTTTGCACAGCATTTTCTTCTTCATTGGTCCACTTAAATTTGCAATCCTTTTTTAATAAATTATGTAGAGGTTTTGCTAATACAGCGTAGTTTTCTATATGGGCTCTGAAATATCCAGTCAAACCCAAAAAGGCTTGTACACTTTTAACATCAACTGGTGTTGGGAATTCTCTAACAGCTTTCAATTTCTCTTCAGTAATACAAATTCCTTTGTTACTGATTAGAAAACCAAGATATTCTATTTCGTTTAAGAAGAATTGACATTTTGAAAATTTTACTCTCAGACCTGATTGTTTTAGTCTATCAAAAACATTATTGAGATGAGTTACATGCGAGATGGCATCAGGAGAGTATACAACTATATCGTCAATATAGATGAAGGCATAATTACCTAAACATCCCTCTAAGACTAAATTCATCATACATTGGAAAATACTAGGAGAGTTTTTTAATCCCATTGGGAGTCGGATGAATTCATAGTGACCAGATGGTGTAGAGAAAGCGGTTTTATGTCGTTCATCGGGATGTATTTCTAAATTGTAAAATCCATGTAATAAGTCAAGAGCTGTGAAATACTTAGCCTTGCCTAATTCTTTGAAGATTTGGTGGATACGGGGCAACGGATGGGGATCTGTTATAACGTGGTCATTTAGTTTTCTGAAGTCAACTACCATTTGCCAACCTCCGTCTTTCTTCTTAACCATAAGAGTGGGTGAGTTATAAGGTGAAGTTGAATTAGTTATTACTCCTTGTTTTATTAGATCCTCTACAAATTGATCTAATACTTGCCTCATTTTATAAGGGGTAGGATACTGTTTTGTATACACAGGTTCGTCTTTGTCCAGTGGAATAGTAGGTTTATATATATTACACAGTCCTAGTTTATCGGTTTTCCTTGCTAAGACAGTGGCATACTTTGTTAATAGTTTTTTAACTTCGCCTTTAAGATGCTCAGGACATTTTGATTGTTCTAGAGCATTCTTTATCATAGACGTAATTGTCTTCTCTGATTCTTCTTCCTTACCGTGTATATGTACTATTTTATCATGAATATTCTTGGTGAATGATAATGCCACTAAAGCATCATCATCCATTAATTCTGCATGTGCAAGAGTATAACTAGGGTCTAGTGCTAGTTATTTTTATGTTAAATTAATACAAAGTGCAAATGTATGACCCTGAGAGTTTATAGTAGAGAGTGATCTTCCAATAATTAAATTTCCTTTGGAATCAATTAAAGGGTTAATTAATATGTCTTTTCCACTTAAGATTTTAGAATTTTCCTTAGACATCTTTAATTTAATTATTTGTTGCGATAACGGGGCAATAATTTGCTTAGAAAGAGGGTATAGTTTAAAATTAGGATCCTTGTCTTGGATGAATCGGGAAGTTACTTCAACAGAATCTTTTAATTCGAAAGGTATATTATGATCGTTAATTTTTATTTCCTTATTTTTATAACAAATTTGAACAGCATTATATCTTAGCCAATTGGTTCCCAGTATTCCTATGAAGTTTGGAGTACAAGGACGATCTATAAGAAGGAATGAAATATTACTAATAAATTTATTTCCGTTATATAGGGATTTGTCGGTAGATCCGAGGACAGAGATGCTGTTTCCCTGTAAAGTGTTGATTATCACATTACTAGGAAAAGAGGGATCAGAATTATAATGAGAATCTAAGATAGATATTTCTTACCCTGTGTCAATTAAGAAACGTAAAGGGGGATCCTCTTTCTTGATGGAGATTGTGACAACTGGTAGATGTGAAAGAGAGGCGTCTCCAGTTAATAATCGTTTCCCGAATTGTTAGACGTATTATAGTCGTATTCATTGTAGAAATTGGATTCGATATAGTGTTGATCGTCTTGTTCTTGATTGTAATATTGATCATATTCTTCGTTTTTTTCATCCTTGGTATCTAGGTATCCGAATTTGTCAATCATTTCGTCCGTTTCTTCATCAAGGTTAATTAGGGTTTCTTCAGAATATTGATAGTTATCTTCCTCATTATATTCTTCTGAGTAATTATTATTCTGATAATTGCCTTGATCCTCAGTTAAATTGTAGTAAACACGTCGGGTATTTCCCACAGGTCTTCTATTAGAATTTCCTGTTCGTCCTCTAGATACAATTCTTCCTCTAGCGTTATTTCCTCTTGAGGAATTGCTTTGCCTGTTTTGAGAAGAAGATTGAGAATTCAACCACTGAACTTTAGGTGGAAAGGTCCTTTTATAAGGAATCTGATTATTAGAAGAATACCTTTGGGGGTTGTTGTTCCCTCGACGCATAGGGGGACGATTGGATTGCCTTATAGATGAACAATTATTTTGTTGATGATTCATTATATTTTGGGATGTGTTCTTATAAGTTTGTTGGTTATTCCAGGGTACTTTATGTGGGCATTCAGCTATGTAATGGCCATGCAATCCACAACCATAACATGGTTCGTTGTTCGCATTGTACACCTTCTGAGTAAAGTTAGGTTTATTAGGAATGGCGGTATGTCTATTATAGGTTCCATTACCTCTTTTGATGTTGAGTTGAAATGTGTCACATGAGTAGACAAGACGTCCAGTAGTTATTAACATTCTTTCAATTTTTATAGCTGATTCCACAGCTGCTTCATAATTGTCAGGAATTTCAGCCATCCTTTCCTGTATATGCGGTTGTAATCCAGTGATAAATTTGTTAAGCTTTATTTCTGACAAGAAGTTGTTTCGACACTGTGAACTTATTACTTCTTGCTCATACGTTGGATTAGTAACAAAAGTTTTTACACCTTCTTGTCTTAGAACTTTTATTTCTGGAATATAATCAGTATTAAGTCAGCTTGCTGCTAGGTTTAAACGTAATGAAAAATCTTGAACTTTCTCGTTTATCCCTTGTTTGATATGGTCTAGGGTAGCTATTCCATCAGCAAAGTTTTTTGGTTCAAAGTAATTTCTTAGAAATCAAATGATAACCTGATAAGGTTTATGACGTAATCCAGTTTCAGATTCTATTAAATTATTTGCCTTAGCGTTTACTTTTGAAAGTAATAGATTTTTAATTTGCTGATCGTTCATTGGATTGGCTTGAAGTAAAGTTAAGAACCTGGAATACCAAGCACTCCATGCTATGGTATTACATTCTCCAGAAAATACAGGTAAGTTACTGATGAAAGCGTTAGCAGTCTGAATATTAGGAGGGATACAGCTTTGGCCCTGTGACTGATTCCATACGACCATCTCTTCGGGAGTGGGGGTATCTAAAGTACCCAGAAGTGTATTAGTCATTATTGCCTTTTTCAATTCTGTAGTTTCCGCAAGATTAATAGTTTTCTCTATCGCCTGATCTTGGATGAATTGAGCCAATAATGCATTATTCCTATCACTTAATTCTTTTTGGGCTTTGTGAATCTTTTTCAGACTAGCACTAGTATCCTTTTCTAATTTTTCTAGATCAGAAATGGTAGATTCCAACTGAAGTATCTGTGTCTCTATCATATCTTTACGGGTTTGTCCAGCGTTTGGTAATTCCTTTTGTAACTGAGTTATCTTTTGACGACGTTCAAGAATAGATCGTTGTAGAAAATTGATTTGGTCAGATGGTGCTAACTGGAGAAATTCAGGAGGCATTTTATTATTATCCAAAGAAGCGGCTGCTAACTTCAACAATCGAGATGCAGATGTATTAGGATTTTGTGCAGGTAGGATACCTGGGTTTTGAGGTGAGATGATTGTAGCATCTAACCCTTCATCGAGGGTTTCTTCAAATTGATTTTGTTTACCAGTTGCCATTATTACGTATGTAAGCTTATACTATTATCAACTGTACTTTACAAATAAATAGTAAATAAGTTAGTAGGGGCAAATGGTAAAGAAAGGTTGCTTAAATATTATACACGAAGTACAATATTTAATTGTCCTGGGTTAGTAAGAATTAATCGTCACTCTTCAAGTTAAGAGGATCTTCTTGTTCACGCGCCTTGGTTTCTTCAGGTGTTTCAAAATCTTCTGGTCTTTTAACAGGTAAGACTAGTTGGACGTTAGAGTATTTAATGAATTCTTTAAATATTATAGTCTCTGGGGAATCTCCGTATACTAACGCAAAAGTCTTTTCCGTAATTTCTTTATTATATTGTTTAGCCTTTTGGATAGAGGTTAGCGATTCGTTAGATTTAGAGTCTGACATAAAAGTATTTGGTTAGAAAATACTGTAATTATAGAAGTACGATAAGAGTACAATAATTACAATTTTTAAAATATAAATACAATCGTATTACATGAAAATTTTTTCACACGATCAATCAATGTTTCTAGCACACGTTACTTTATTTGAAAGTTTTCTCAAATTTTTCTATTTGTTTGGGTTTTTGTAAAAATACCTTTTGCTTCCTGAACCGTCTCCTTTCTTTTGGACGACGTTCCTTGGTCCACGCCACACAGGGCCGTTACCGTTTGAGGTCAACTCTGCTACTGGGCAGTTACCTTTTTTAATTCTGGCCAACTCCTCTTATGGGCAGTTGCCTTTTCTTTCGGCCAACTCCTCTCTTGGGCAGTTGCCTTTTCTTTCGGCCAACTCCTCTCTTGGGCAGTTGCCTTTTCTTTTGGCCAACTCCTCTCTTGGGCAGTTGCCTTTCGCTTTCACTTTTCACTTTTTCAATTTCAGCACTTTTGCTTTTTTGGAACTCTAATTTTTTCGGACACCAAGAGTTTCTTGTGCACTAACTGCACTTAATCCACCCGGCGCAAAAAGGAGCACCGACTGTGCCACTTTTTGTTGTCCGGTTTCCAAAATTAAATAAAAATTTGACAACGTGTCTTGTCTCCTTGCTTTTAATTCAGAAACCTTCCAACTGTTACTTTTTAAGTTCTCTCCTTGATGTCCGGGAAACTTCTTCAGATGTCCAACATTCAGTCTTTTGAATGAGTATAGAGTCCGTATATCTTCAGTAGATATATTTCTATCAACGTACTCGTCTCCTTACGAGGTTATAGACAACACTGAACTCGCGCAGGCAAAAACAATGTAGAATATTGAGCACCGGGAATATAATATTACTTTGTTGCAAAGTAATCAATGCATCAAAGGATCGTCTGAAAGTTTCGCCTCGGGGTACTTCCCAAGTATTGTCATATTTTGTCACACTGATAACAAGATTCATCTGTAGTTGATTCAAATTTGAAAACAGCAAATAGTTTTCAACTTTGAGCCTTGGTTCATTGAGTTTTTAGCTTTCTAAAAGTTTTTGAATCATATTCAATTAAAGAGTCACCATGAATTGTACATGGGAAACTGTGGGTGGCCCTCATGCATGCACAAATAAATGAAAAATAAAATATATAATAAATAAGTAAAAAATGAATACTGTAGTCATACCGGTATAACTTGTCCATTGGGACTGATGCATGATTGAAAAGCAGCCACTCTGCGGTTTTTGGCGACAAGCTTTGAGAATCTGTCAGGGCTTGCTTCTACAAGAAGTCCAGTCCAATTGAAAAAAACTTCTTGATACAGGGTGTTGGACATATCCTCTCCATCATAAGCACCAGCTTCAAAAAAGGTTCCTCCTACCTAAAAATAAATGAAGCCATAAATAAAGAAGCAGTGCTGCTGTTCTCTGTGAATCACAACACATAAGTGACTGTTCTTTGGAAAAAGTGGATTTTTGCAGAACATATGCAAATTTAAAAAATAACACTTATATGTGAAGTTTTCTTTCCTGGGAAAGTGGGGGAAATAATGACCATACAAAATCAAAGGACTCACTTTAGTCAATATATCTTTTCTATTTACAATATAAAAGCAGTTATACAGCAAGACCCCAAGACAATACAGAGGTAATTGGGTGTCTGTATGTCAGAATGTCCCCAAGTCAAGTCTCAATTTCTCTTTGAGACTGCAATGAAAATATATTTAATTGGTTCTCCTTTTTGTCAGAAAGTGAAAATAAGTCCTCAAGAAATTCAATAAAATTGTTTCCCTCAACTTAAAGTTGTAGAAAATTACTGTGCAGAACAAAACCACATGGAATCTGACTTTTTGGAATCAAAAGAAGATCAAAAAGCAAAGAAAAAGAACAAGTCTTGCTATAGAATATGCGCAGATGATAGAAAAAAAGATGATAGAAATAAAGGATAGCAGATCAGAATCTCCGCGTTAAAAAAATGATTATACATAATTCTCTCCAATTTTCAGAATACTTACTTTTCCGTTGAAATATTGCTGTAGAATTCTTGATTGGCCGATTTGTGAACGGTCATCATTTCCATAGATTGTGAATGGCGTGGTTAGATTCAGTTTTCCCCTGGACCCATCACGATTGTCAATCAACTTTTCACGAATTTGCGTTGTCAATTCCGAATTTTCCAAAACTTTTCTCGCAGTTTCGTGTACACCATCTTCAGGTGCCTCATTCATTTTTATCATGACGCGATATATTATTATTGATGTTATCACAACAATTGCGAGAATCTCATACTTCTTTTTCATTTTGGCAAAGTATAACGCAATTTTCACTGCCAACAAATTTGCCTGTGAAAGAATTCGGGTTATTAGGTAGGCCCCCGCACTGCAACCGGCTCTCACTACAACAATTTTGCTCTGCATTCACTTTTACGTGGTGAAAACAACAACCGCCAACTTGCACGACAGCCATATTCTCGATGTCCAGCTGGGTTTAAAGAAAAATAACTTTCTGAAATACATACAGAACGAAACATCCCCCATTTTTATTCAACAATAAATCCAAGCTTTCTTCGACGCAGATAATTCCTGTTCGGAAAAAAGTCCAAGAACCGCATTGGCCAACATTTAGATAATTTCCAAGGCGGCAAAGTCTCAAAAATGCACCAAGTGATGACCACAATCAATCAATTTCCTGAAAACATTGATTCATTCGTAACGATTTTTAATCCATTCGGCCGGAGCAGATTTTCATCCTTCCAAAGAGAGTATTAAAAAAAAAATTTTCCTGCGAGACTGACCATGTTTTTAAAAACTTTTGCCACGAGTTTCGATTGAGAAAATTTCAAGTAAGTATACTTCACTCACTGACACAAAATATCTTATTGCTCAAAAACTGCTCTTCAAAAATTTTGGATCTGCAAAAAGTTCAATTCATGTATCTCTTTTGTAAACAATATAAAAGCATTTTCTTGAAATTTGTAGACAGAACTGTTTAAAATCACAATTATTGCACATCACGTTTGATGAAGAGCAAGTCATGTTCCCTGATTACTTTCTTATTCAGCTCATATCCCCTAGGTTTAATTCAAAGCAAGAGAGGGAAGGAGAAAAAAGAGGATTGAATTTTTAAATGAGTAAAAGGTACAAGCAGCTAATCTGAGGCTAGGGTTTTCAGAATCCTGGTTCAATTTTGGTATGATTTCACAAAATTCAAACTGAAAATAAAATTTTAAACAGTCAACAGATATGCCCTCTCACAAGATCAGGTTTTTGGCTTTACTCCAAAGATCTGCTCAGGACAAATGCACAACTGCAAGCATCAAATCAAATTCAGTTGAGAGAAGAAGAATTCTCAAAGATTGAGTCTTCCAAATTATAGGGAAAAGAACTTTTGCTTTCAGATTTGCTCTAGTCAAGCCTGGGAACCGAACTCCAGTTTGGTTCACACACTCCTCTCAAATGGTTTCAATCTTATTCAAGATACTAAATAATCAATCTGAGTAAGAAAAAAGGGACTTTCTGGTGCTTTTGCGAATTTTTATTAGGTCTATTTTCAGCAAAGTCAGTTAGAGAACCCAAATTCTTGCCCTTGGAAATGAATTTACTTTCTATGAGAACCTTGGAAGACCTTGGTTCTCACGTTGCTTACGGAAGCCTCCAAGGCTAAATTTCACAAAATCCTGCAAATCCTGTTGCTAATTCTTGTCCTTGAAGGACTGTTTTCCTGTTTCCCAAAACCACAAGATTGAGCACAGTTTGTTTCAAGCATTTGTGTGTGCGGTTACTCCAAGATTTTGCAAGGTTTTCAAGATGCTATCAGTCCAATCCTTTGATTTACACCAACTTCAATAGGGTGATTTCACCCCAGTCACAGCCAGACCAAATTCTTGTGTTTCATTTTTCCAAATCAGTCCTCTTTGAGTCATTCCAAATTCTCAAACTAAAATCTTCAGTTGTTGGGATTTATTCCTGACAGGTGCCACTCTGTCATCTTTTGTGACAGCTTCTGATTTTCCAATTGATTTTGGTTCACAATTTTTGGTGTTTAAAGAAAAAAAACTTTCATCCAGAAGAGTGCATCCAAAATTGAACTACAGATGCCTTTGAAAAAAGAAACACACACACACATCCACCATTCCAAATTTTCATTTTGGTTTCCTCTCGGAACTCCACACAACTGATCACTCCTTCTTTTAAAGCAATTTCTTCCAACCACACTTCATCGCATCGCAACCGAGTCACAAATTTTCTTCTTTCTCACCAAATTAATCCAGAATTCTTGGAAAAGAAAATAAGATCCTCTTTTCCAATTTCGCGTCAATCGCAATATGTCGACAAACGGCGCATTAAAAGGAGGACATGAGGAAATGGTCAACGGAGAAATAGAAAAAGAAACCTGCTTTTCAAAACATCATTCGGTATGAAGCCTGAAGCAAAGCAAAATACTTGGGCTTCTCCAGGGTTTTCCTCTTTCCTTTTGCTGCTTTTCAATCACACACTTTGAAGTATTCGCCGCATTATTTTCCTCATTTTCTTCCCGAATGAAGATTCAGAATCATGTACAAATTATGGGCAAACATATTCCGTGTCAAAAAAAGAGATTTCTTCACCGGAATTGAACCCTTTGAACAATATCCAGGGTCATAAGATCCACGCAAAAAAAGCAGAAACTGTGAAGTATCGAATTCCGAAATACAGGGTGCCCATAAAATTCACAGTTTAAAAGAGAAGTCAGACTTTCTTCAGAAACTAAAGTACACGAGTTCAGAAATCCGCAACGATGGGAATGGAAAGGTGAACAAGACTTTAATTCGATTGTTAATCAATTTTTCACGAATTTCCGTTGTCAATTCAGTATTTCTTAAAACTTTTCTGGCAGTTCCGTGAAAATCATCTTTCGGTGCTTCATTTATTTAGATCATAACGTGATATATTAATATTGATCATATCACAACAATTGCGAGAATCTCATACTTCTTCATTTGGAAAAGTAATGCAATTTTCAGTGCAAAAAAATTGCCTGTGAAAGAATTAGTTATTAGGTATAGGTCCCTGCACTGCAACCGGCTCTCACTACAGCAATTTTGCCACTTGTACGTTTTGAACAAAAAGAAACTCCTACAACAAC